TTAGGTGGATATATACTTTGCGTCGTTTTTTGCAATTTTGATCCTAAATGAAAGGGTAGACTTAATTAAAACTAGGGTTTAAAAATCCATTAATTCGCGAAACCAGTGCCGGTTCTATTTCAAGTTGATTTATAAATTTAATTTTATTTTTTGCAATTCCATCGGTGGTTTAGAGATTTAACTTAGAACAGAAAAGACACTACAAAATACAAATTTTCGAATTAATACTTCTTTAAAACATGAAACGTCCTTTAATCATTCAATAAAAAACAAGCTTTCCGCCTTTTATTTCCTTTTTAAGTCATTATTTTTAAAGCAATAAGACTTCATAAGGCGCTTATTTCTCTTTGACAACTGAGAATAATTATTTTCATCATTTGAGGAAAATGTTTACAATTTTAAGATAATTACGGAAGATTTTTCACTTTATACAAAACACTCTCTTCTGATAGCACAAATTACTTGCTAGGGTTGTAACAATTTTATTACGGTACGTGCAACATTCATTTCGGTAGTTAATTAAGACGTTGGAGCCTTAACCCACGATTTTAACATCTGTTTAATTAATTAAATATCAGAACTGGCTTGAATAATCTTATTTTGACGTATTTAAAAACAAAAACATAAAATAAAAAATTGTTGTTCAATTGCTCTAATTATTTTCCAATGTGATCCGATTTATTGAACAATTGTGACAAAATTACTAAAATAAATCCAATGCAAAACAAGCAACAGGTATGTATATACATCTACAACAATCATAATTTCATAAATACTTCCTAGTTCCTATTGTAAGAACTTAATCCGAACTAATTGGAGATATGGCTGCAATATTTTGCTCAATTTAATGTCGGAATTAAGTGCCACTGCATATCGATTCAAAGTTCACATATTTGCAAGCGCTTTATAACCGATTTTTTAATTTAAGTTTAATATTTTCAACGTGATTTATGACTGTAAATTTATTCAAGTATAAAACTTTATTTATTGTGTTTATGGTATTTGTCATAAAATGGTCATGCAACCCTAGACATATTATTATGATTCAGATTTATGACGAGTGCTCTAATTCGTGTATAAACACGTACTTTGGCTTGAAAATCCCATTAAATCTTATTGTTAATATTAATATTAATTTTGAAGCCCAAATGTAAAGTGAAATATTTATGATCAGACATTTGTGGCTTTTAACGAATTTTTTGTTCTTAGCAATCGATTTAAACTGGGGTCAATTTTCATTATACGTTGAATGCAATTTATGATTGGCTACAGCTTATCAGTGTTACTTTATCTCTCTTGCACGTTTTGGCCCCATTGCTCACCAAAGGTCTAATTTCATGCAACCATAAATATGGATTATAATTCGCAGTAAGCTATAAGTCTATTAGTTGAACGATAAACTAATACTCAAAATGCCGTTAACATAATTTCATATATCAACTTCGTCGTGAAATTCAAACACTGAAAAAACTGATTTAAATTATTTCAGGTAAGTTGTGCGGAGTTCGACTATTATTATTGTAAGTATAAATTCTGATAATAGAAAATTATTTTGACCTAATGAGCCTCGTCGTAATTTTACGGGGTGATAAAGTTATCTTCGTGTGAATTTGTGGTAATTAGGGACTTGTGTGTGACGTTAAAACTTAATCCCGAAGTAGTTCCAACATGGTAATGCGGAGGTCAGATGCTCTCACACTACTTTGGCTTGTTAGTGGTATGCAAACCACAAGATAGGAGCTTGGTTCTAATCTGATTCTAACCTAAATCTCAATAATACTAACAAAAAAAAAACATTTATTTAAAATCGATTTCAAACGTGTATGTTGTGCTATTTATCAGTTTCGTGTGCAGTAGAATTGAGACAAATGAGGAGCTCAATGCTCAATGGCATCATTTGAACAAAACTCATCCTACAAATGTGTGTTTTTCGAACAAAGGTTAAGAGCGACTGTTAGGTGGAAATAAAAAATTTATACGTTTGCTTTGTTCTCGTTTAGTTGGAAGCTAAGTGTTGACAAAGAAGAATATTAACAGTTTATACTCAAGTAGATTTAACCGGTATATTTGTCTTAAGAGTGGAAAGCCCGGCAAACAGAAAGCTTTGAGTGTGTTCATTTTTTCATTTTTTTATTCGTTTCTTTTACAAATTCAATTTTTTATCCATGGAAATGTTAAATTTTTTATTGAAATAGTATTGTATTGTATATGTATAATCCCCGTGGAATAAATATCTGCAGTACTTTTGCCACGGGTATATTTTACTTTGTTTTATTCACTTATAAAATATGATGTATTACTGTTGCATGTTCTTGGAGCTTTATCCAAAATGTTGAAACCGCACATTTCTCTGCTAGATTCTCTCTTATTATTCAGAAAGACTACTAAAAATATGAAAATTCTATTAGTTTTCCTATAACACATTCAGAAATAATTCAATTAAAAAGAAGCATTGGAAGGATGGAAGGAACGTTAATTAAAATTCATTTGTCACATACCTCGTCATTTCCCTTTGTCCAACTAATTACACTTTTCCCATAATTCGCACAATTAGTAGAAAGGTATCTACGTATAGAGCAATAAGTTATCTAAGTTTCCAGCTTTATTTTAATCTCACAGAACAACACCCAGAATGTTTGTAATTTAATTGTTCAGCCACATGTAATAAAGCAACTGAATTATGATTACGAACATACTTTTTCAGGATACTCTGAGAAATTTAAATTTAACTGACTTGCAAGCAATAAAAAGTTACTTTGCTGTAATTGTAAGGATAGCAGTGTTCTTTAATTACATTACTTGAGCCGGTTTATCAAATTTTTTTGTGATAAATGTTCTATTTGGATGAATAATCTCAAACGGAATAAGTTAAAAGGCAAATGTCATTAGTCAACTCAGTACACAATTGCTACAATAATTGTGACAATCTCACAATAAGTAATGAGATTTTTTGTCAAATTTATTATGAATATGTCTTCTTTTTCATCCTTTTTCACATATTAAGTTTGCGGGATTTTTTCAATTTTGTATTATTACGACTATAAATTTCGTCTATTGCGATTCCCATTCTCTAGTGAGAAGCAAAGAAAATTCGACGCTTTTGAACAACAAAAGTTTTTTCTATTAAATAGCTAATCAAATTTATCAAACGATACATTGGGCGTCCTCTTGGGACCATAGTTGGTAGGTTTAGGATTGTTTTGGCGGTTTACCAAACTTTAACAAGAAATAATTAACGGGAAAATTAAACTTTACCAACTTATAAATTTGTTGTTTTTCACGCATTTGGTTTTTATTGTTTTTCTTCCTAAAATGTGAAAGTAAAATCTACTATAAAAGTTTCACATACGTGTTGGGAATACATTTCCAGGACATTTTATAAACAAACTTATTTAACTCTTGCCAGGGTCATTTTAGAGTTATTCAAGTTGTAACAGAGTCGGACACTTGGGGCCAAAAAGCTAAAAAGAAAATTAACTTTCGTAAACATTAAAATTAAAACAAGTAAATTCTATTTTATTTTGCACTTACTAAAAAAATAGAGACAAGAGGAAGCAAAGTTTAGTTTACAGCTATTCTACTTAATTATGAAATTTTAAGTTTTTCTATCAATATGTGTTCAATTTTTCGTTCTATCAAACGATCTTTTGCTCAATTTTTTGTTCTGACAAGTAATTTTTTGCTTGGCCGAGTATTTTTGTGTTAAACATTTAAATAAAAAAGCCTTAATATATGATAAAATAAAAATTTTTTACATGTAAGGTGTAGTTTAATTATTACTTTAAAACTGTAAATAGAGTTACAGTAATGTATGGATAATCCAAACAGAAAGTTGGCAGATTACCAAAACTTCCAGATTATAGAGTAAATTTTCAAATCCTGCATTATGCAAACCCTGAACGTATCTTTAAGACAAAAATTAGTGAGAAAAAAAAAGACCTCATTCAAACCACTAAAATGCACTATTGAGAACCGCTGACATTGGTATTAAAAGTGATGAATGAAAACGGGGAAAAAAGTACACAAATAATGCATAATCGACATTCAAAGTCAAAAAAACTGAGTTTTTATTTGTTCGACGTACAAATGATAAGCTTACCTCATTAAAAAAAATAAAAAAGTACCTACTTACCGCGACTTTGACATTGACCCAACTTTAAACGTCAGTATTTACTCAATAAAATTCTTTCCCAATTTTGAATTTATTTTTTTTATAGCTAAAAGATTATCTGCTGATTCATCAGGTGTTAAAAAGGGATGACTGCGTATGTTTATGACCCTCACGGTCACTTATCATTACAAAAGTAGAGAAGATGAGGAAGGGGGCAAACACATTTCAATCAAACGTATATTAGGTTGCGTAAAATATACAGGGTGCGCCAGAACGCGCGCCCCAGAGAAAAAGTTATGAGGATTTAAATTTTGCACTTTGACTTATTTTTGTTGGAAAAATAATTTTCCAAGTTTTTTTGCTATAGGCTATTAAAAGAGAAAACAAGGAAGCTGCATCCTAAATTGTAACTCTGCTCAATGTTATTTGTGGCTTTTATTGGCAAAATTTTTGTACCTTTACTAAATAATTGTAAAAAAACATATATAAGATCATCAGTATCATTAAATACACATAAAAAAATGCCAAATGTCAAAAAACAAATGTCAAAATTTTGACAGATAGAATTTTTTAAACATTTTTTACGTGTTCCTGGTATCTTACCTTACTTGAAAATTTCCTCTGGGGCGCGAGTTCTGGCGCACTGTGTATATGAACTCGTATTTATAATAGAAAATTTATTTGTACATTTAATAATACTGTACCAATTTCACAAAAACAGTAATAAAATAATTACAAATAACCAAATTCATCCATTTGCTTAAATCTGGAACTTAATACCAATATCAGCGGTCCTCAATAGTGCATTTCAGTGGTTTGAATGAGGTCATTATTTTTTTCTCTCTCTAATTTTTGGCTTAAAGATACGTTTAGGGTTTGCATAATGCAGGATTTGAATATAATACGATACTCTGTGAGACACTCTGTATAATATTCAAAACAAACTGTAATTTATCTTCATCTCATTATAATTTACTACGTCGGAACACACATGAGCTTTGACCCTCCAACGATATGAATATTTTAAATACGCCTAATGTCTTTTAATATAATTGCATTTATTCGCTCTAACGTAACTTGGACTAGATCTGGGTAAGTTATTTTTAAATTACATTAATCATCTCTCATGGTACTCATCATCAAAAAATCAAGATTTATTAAAGCGAAGGCCAAAAAGTGGGAGTGATATTAACAATGATTTGTCGTCAGATATTGTAGCAGTACTAATCAGTCTTTAGTAGAAATATATCAACAAAAATGAGTGCTTCGTTATCTGATGAACAAATAAAACTTGTGAAGATAGTAGCAGAGAGTCAAGGCTTTAAAGATTATCAAATGGAAGTCGAAGCAGGATCTTTGAAAGGAGATGGCTATATGGGAATCATCAACACGGTTAAAATTTGGGATAACAGCAAAGATCTTCATCTGGTGATTAAATCAGCACTTTGTGGGAAACAAGTAAGAGAACAATCTCCTGTTAGGAAAGCCTACGAGAGAGAAATTTATATGTACACAACAGTTTTGCCCGAGTTTGAAAAACTTTTACACGAGAGGAACATCACGAACGGTTTCAAAGAAAAAGCAAAGTGTTACGGAAGTTTTCTCAAAGAAAATGAAGAATGTCTCATTTTAGAGAATCTTAAAGAAATTGACTACAGACTATGGGATCGTACAGTACCAATGAATGAAGATCATGTTGCTTTAGGGTTTGCCACTTATGGCAAATTTCACGGAACTGGTCTAGCTTTGAAACACCTCAAACCGGAAAAATACGAAGAAATTAGCAAAAACCTAAAAAACATTTTTTACAGTGAAGTAGAAACACCAGAAGAGAAAGCGAGATTTGAAGAGAACTCGAAAATCATATTCGGAAACGCATTCAAGGCAGTTGCAGGAAATGAACAAGCCACGCAAGCCCTCACTCGGTTCACCCAACAATCCGAAAAGTTCTTTGGAGAAGATATAAAAAAAATCGACAAATATTCAACAATTTTACATGGAGATTGTTGGTGCAACAACATGATGTACAAATATACGGTAAAACAAATTCTACTTTTGAGAAATTTTTCAAAAGCCGCATTGTTTTTTAGGATAAGGCAAATCCAGACAAACCTATGGATATGTGTCTCCTAGACTGGCAAATCTCCTACATTGGATCCCCAATATTTGACGTCTCTCACTTTTTCTGTGCTAACAGTTCAAAGGAAGTTTTATACAACATAGAAAAATTATTAAAAATTTACTACGAAAACTTATCGTCTACGATTCAAGAGGCGGGTTTAAATCCCGAAGAAGTTTTATCGTATGATGAACTGAAGGATCAGTGGAAATTCTATGCGAGATACGGCCTGTTTGTAGCACTGTTTATAATGAGGGTTGTTTTGAGTAAAGCCGATGAAGTTCCAGATTTAAGCAAATGTGCTGAAGAGGGAAAAGATATGTTGCAATCAATCAGTTTGTCAAAACCTTCAAATAATGAAGAAATTTATAAACGTATTACGGATATTGTGATTTTTATGGATGAATTTGGTTATTTGTGATTATTTTATTACTGTTTTTGTGAAATAGGTACAGTATTAATAAATGTACAAATAAAATTTTTATTATAAATAAATATTATATTATATTATATTTTACGCAACCTAATATACATTTGTTTAAAATGTGTTTGCCCCCTTCCTCATCTTCTCTACGTTTGTAATGATAAGTGACCCTGAGGGTCACTAAATCAAGGTTCGTTAGTCCGTAATATTTCCCAAGCTCTTATGTAACAAACAGTGACTTCACATTTTCAATCTTCTAAGTAGGTACATAAATTTATGTTTACAAAGACTTATTTTCATAGATACATATTTGTTTTATATTTATAAATAAATTTAACTGTTCGATTGTTGCTAAGGTAGCGCTGATCTGATTAGTGTTGCCATGGTTTAATCAAGGTTTAAATTCATCTCTCCGTTAAATAAGTTTCTAGAAACCGGGCCTTAGTTGTTTGAAAATCACGGCTTCAAATACTAGTAACATGTTTGTAATTTATTAATGATTTTTAATTAATCAAACACATTTTTTTTGCAAAACATACACAGTCATCCCTTTTTAACAATTGATGAATCAGCAGATAATCTTTTAGCTATAAAAGCAAATTTATCTCTACTTATTTCCATTAAATTTTCCTTTAGTAGAGTGGTAAACAATTAACAATGAGTGCACTAGCAATTTTGAGCAACAACTCATTTCTGTTCTTGATGACGCAGCTAAGAAACTCAATTAGGAAAGGCAGAGGCACTGGAGTCATTCTATTTAAAGCATAAAATTTTGATTTTGGCAAAGTTTTGCGAAATTTTTTAGCAGATTCGGATTTATTAGCTAATTTTCTTCAAAAAATGTCTCTAGTGTTATTTTTAAATGACGCACCGTTTTCGAGAAAAACGAATTTTTTTTAACCGTGCATTAATTCCAAAAAAGAACCCACGCTGTAAATATTTTTTTATAAGGTCGAGTTATCTCTATAACTTCCTGAGGGATAATTTCCGGACATAAGTCCATAGAAACTTTTTTTCTTATTTTGACCACCCCCCGAAATCCTTCAACATTTTGTCTGGGCAGCCTGTCCCAAGTTTTAGGGCCGGCCCAAAAATAAATATTTCGAACTGATTAAAAAAAATGTTTGCTAGTGCAAACGATAGAGGATTATATTAAGTAGTACTTAGATATTGTTCCAAATTTTTAGGGTAAGTCAGTGAGACCCTAAATACCAAATTTGGAAATACAGGGTGCGCCAGAACTCGCACCCCAGAGAAAATTTTCAAGTAAGGTAAGATACCAGGAACACGGAAAAAATGTTTAAAAAATTCTATCTGTCAAAAAATTTTCACATTTATTTTTTGTCATTTGACATTTTTTATGTCTATTTAATTATACTGATGATCTTGTATATGTTTTTTTACAATTATTTAGTAAAGGTACAAAAATTTTGCCAATAAAAGCCACAAATAACATTGAACAGAATTACAATTTATGATACAGCTTCCTTGTTTCCTCTTTTAATAGCCTATAGCAAAAAAACTTGTAAAATTATTTTTCCGACAGAAATAAATAGAGTCAAAGTGCAAAATTTAAACCCTCATAACTTCGAAATTTTTATAGATAAATTTTTTTTAACAATTTTTCCATGTTCCTGGTATCTTACCTTATAATTCATTTTTCTCTGGGGCGCGAGTTCTGGCGCACCCTGTATTTTTTTATTAATTGGAATCTTTTCTACATGATAAAATTTCTAGATTTTTTCTAATAGTAACTGTGAAAATTGAATAATGTAAGAGTTGATAGATTTTGAGTAATTAACATTTTAATATTGAAAATTGGGAATTCTGATAATTTATGACCAAGTTTGAGATGATGTGCTGCCAATGCATTGACACTGAAGGCTTCACAATAGAGCTCGGGTACGTCATAAATGTCATTGCGGACCTTTTTCTCAAGAAATTTTGGCCTAATCACCAATTATCACAAACCCAACCATAAATTATTAGAACTTTCACATTTTCAATATTAAAATATTCATTATTCAAAACCTATGAACTTTTGCATTATTCGATTTTCACAATTATTACTAGAAAAAATCAAGGAATTTTTTATGTAGAAATTATTCCAATTAAGTATAATTTTTTTTCCAAATTTGGTTTTTATGATCTTATTGCCATACGCTAAAAATTTTGAACAATATCAAAGCACTAAATTAGAGTCTATATAATCCTCTATCGTTTGCATTAGCAATTTTTTTTAAGTCAATTATAAATATTTATTTTTGGGCCTACCCTAAAACTTGGGATACGCTGTATATCATTGAAAATCACTAGTGCAAAGTAATTACTTAAAAAGTTTTAAAAGATACCTTTAATTAAGATACGACTGCGATAAATGGAGATAAATGGGATAAGAGATTACATGTTTCAAATAATACACATAATAGACTTAATAGACAGATATAGTAGTTTGTATAGAAGTTGCCGAGAAGGATGAATGCGCAGGTACATAGATTCACATGCTGTTTCATACGCGGGAATTTCAAAATTTTCCAGTGGCGTCATCTATTCAGTTGCTTTTACTGGGACAGTTTATAAAATCTTTAATTGCGATGAAATTTTGATTAACCATTATTCGATTAAAAAAAAGCGAAGTAAAATTTAATTCAAGTAATCCGAATTAAGTTGTCAGTTACTTTACATTGCCAAACATCCAATTAATCGGGAATTAAAATTTGATTGCATGCTTTGTAAGATACTTTTTGTTCAAAATGAAAATGTGAAATTTGTTGAAAAGACTTCGCCAACTTATACAACTGCACTTACTTTTGTTGTATTCAAAAATCACATGTTCAGACACTTTACTTTGCGATAAACTAAAAAATGAAAAAAATAAAAATGTACTTACCCTATGGCATCTTTTTCTACTAAAATTACAAGTATTATTACAATAAATATGAACTCGTCTTCGACAAATTTTGAAATAGAATTTGGGAAATATGACATTTTATCTAAAATATGTACTATTAATTTCTATTTATATTTAAATACGTAATTCTTTTTTTTAATTTGTATCAATGATCTGCCTAAATGCATAAAAGATACAAAATGTGTAATGTTTGCCCAATGGTTTATTCGAAATAAATAAAAAACATGTTGTTGCAAAAGAGTTTTTATAGTATTAACGAATTTTTAAATTATGACGACAATACATTGTTTGTTTTTTAACTAGTCTCTATGTTTTTTTTCTTGTGATATACATTTTTATAGGTTTCTATCTGTTTAATTCGTATTATGTTTCATGTATTTACTCACATTATTATATTGACGTGTGTAGTACTTTTGAGTATCTATATCCATACGTATTACTTTAAAATTTTTAAACCCTAAAATGTTAAATAATTGAAATGCGTATAATTCAGCTAAATTTTTTTGGTGTGCAGTAGGCTTAATGGTTTCAGTTCAAATGTAAGTAAGTGAGAACGCGATTTTTCTATATTCTTTTTTACGCGCCGAGAAAATTTGGTCATGTTGTATATGATTTTAGGAACAAATTAGGAAAATCATGTTTAGACTTCACTTCTGCATAAAACATTTTACGTCAATGTCTCTGCAAAGTTTGAATTTTCTAATTTTAAAATCACAGATCGATAAAAATAGTTTATATTTTTCGGTTAATTTTATGCTACGTACCTAGTTAATATACCTAAATAAATCATCCTACATATTAAAATTTGAAATAAGGATCATATCGTATCAAATTACCCCAGTTCGGCCCTGGGTAATTTTAAATATTTTGTAACAATTCTCTTCTAAAAATAAACTAGGAGTATTTTTTTAAATTTCTCTATATTTTGCTCACATTACATAAGTCAGTATAATAAAATCATTAATAATTTCTAGAGTTGCAATTTCAAGAAAACTTTATAGACAGTAAAATTCTAACGTCGACACACATGACACTAAAACATTAGATATACTCACACTTTGCTCAAAAGACAATAAAGGACATTTCTGCTCAACAGTTATCTAAATAGATAAAACCATTAGTTTAAAACAGTAATTAAGTACCCTTGTAGAATGTTTTACTTGTTTGCTTTTAATTTATTTTTTAAATTGTTATTTATTCACTACGACAATCAACTTAAATTGTATCCTTGACATACTTTATAGTTTAGTCCTATGCTTTGTTGAAGATTATACCTACGAAAGTGATCATTAAGTCTGATTAGTATTTCCAATAATGTTTATTGTATTTACAGAATTAAACCGTATATTGGTTTTATAAGATTTCGGTACTTGAAATACTTTCTTGTATGAACGAAACAACAAAAGTCTGAAATTTTACGACATGGATTTTGTCTCGGTTATTAAATTTTTCATTAAAACGAAGCCAGCAAATGACAGCATTAAATTCTATAATGAACTAATCTAGCATTGTGCAATAAACCTGATCTGATTAGGTGTCAAGGAAGATAGTAAGGATTTAAAGTAATCTCTAAATCAAATTGATTTATCGCCAGGGAAATCCTAGAGTGCAGCGAGAAGCTTAATATGGTTTTTACCGCAGATTGCATGTCTAATTAGCCTTTTAAGCCATCAACCCTTTACAACCATTTAAAAAAATTGAAACAAAGCCTTTAAGTCTTCTCAGTGATATTAATTTCTTTGAAGTTGGAGCAAACCGGAAATTCAAAAGGATAACTGAATGTTTAATGCATCAAAAAGCACTTCCAATTTCACTGCTAGAAGCATTTAAATTTCTTATTGGAATAGTGGAAGCTTTAAATGTATTAGAATTGTTTGTATCAAGTCCAGAAATTCGTTAAAACTAGTGACACCATAAATCGAAAAGAAGTTGCGTGTTGGAAGCAAGCTCACGCAGAAATCGCACGAAAGATGCATCAATTGTGTTATAAGTGCTCTAGAAATAATCTTTTTAAATTCAAATTACATAATTACGGAATTGGGCGTTCGATAAAAAGGGCGCCAGTTAATTAACTTTTCTTTGCGAACAATATTATGCATGTGAATAGATTGTTAAGCTCCGACACTAACACACTGCTCGTGAATTTAATAGCTTCACGTGA